AAAGGATTTTTTTTATAATTTTGTGTTAATATTTTCACGTACACATGTACTTGTATAAATTATAGTCCAACATTCTTGTACGAAAACATTTTAATCATTACAACTTACTTATTAAAAAAAAAAAAACAATTTAACCGAAAAGCGAATTCTATAAAATTAATAGCGCCGTGAAGTATGCATTGTTTTTCATAAAGAAAATTTTTTTCGAGAATCGAAAATATTATATGTCAAATATCAATAATTTAAAAATCAAAATCAGCATTTCAATATAAGAACTTACTTATGAATTTCCTATTTTACCAACCGCATTGCATTGCATCCAATAAGGGAGGGGTTATGTGATGGCAACAAATTTGTATCTAACGAATGGATTGATGAAATTTCTTAAAATTTGATATTTGAGTACTAGTTCTTACCGAAACTAACTAGTGAACTTTTCAAAGAATTCTGGTGGCACAAAGCTAAATTCTACTAAAAGCCAAATTAACACTTTTCTAGGTATGTTAACAAAAAGTTTGCTAGTGTCCTTAAAATTGTAAAGAAGGGGTTAAAACGCATTGTCATAAATCTTCTGTAACAATTTCACTAAACTAGGCAATTCACATTATTATGGTCGGTTATGTGCTGATTACGTCATTAATTTTTCTTAATTAAAATTTTCTTATAATTTTCTTTTTTACCTTAGAACTTTAACAAATTAAATTTTAAAAGTATAAAAAATATATTATAAAAAATATAGTTTATTAATCGAAATTTAAAAAGAAAAAAAATTGAATGCAATATTCGATTGTTTAAAGTTGCTTACATATATTTACATACATACATACATTGCCGACATATTATATATTTGTGATTGTAGTGTTGTTTACTTGTATTTTTATTGAATTTCTATATTATACTTCTTTCTATATACACTTTATTACGGGTATTCTATTATTATTTTTAATTCATATAAGAAACCTGTTCTAAATCAATCAATATGTTATTAAGTTCAGTGTATTGATTTCAAATATTTTGCACTATTAAATAAAAAGTTTTTCACGTTTTACAATATTTTTATAATCTTTAATAAATCAAATAAATTAAAAAGAATTTTTTTTTTTGAATTTCATCTAATAAACATTAAAATTTTATTAAAATAAAAATAATAATTTTTTCAGAAATAGTGTTGGTCAGTTTTACAATCTTAACCTTGTAAATTTTTTTAAATGTATTTTAACTTTGAATTTTACTCTTTACTAATTTTTGAATCTAAATACAAATACGAGTACATAAGTATATAAAAAATTACTTTAACTTAAAAGAAATTTCAAAGACAAACTCTTCCATTTGCATGACTTTTTCAAAAAAAAATATTTATAAGTTTAACTCTGAGTGTTTCCAAAAACTTTCAAACCCTTTATGATTTAAAAAAGCTGAATTTCGTTATGGCCAAAATTATTACCTTCTTACATAGTAATTTAAAACATTACTAATATGAATTTCATTTTACTATAGCAAAATTTTCTTATATACTTTCTCTTTAATGAATTATACGCTTATTGAACTGCAAATTATTGAAAGGGTAATGTGATATTTTGCAAATCATGTATTTAGGTTTGATCTACTGTATTTTTTAAATATATGTACACAGTTTTCTTTTAATGAAACTGTTATACTTTAAATATACAACTATATAAATGATTTATATGTATAACAGTTTATTCAAATGTTCGATTTTTATTTCATATTTTTTGGTAAATGGAAAGTGTAGTTAAGTATACGTATTATACCTAGTTGTTTTAAAATTAAATACTTATTATTCTATAAATATGTATAAATATATATATATATGATATAAATATAAATATATCATATAGATATATATTACTCGTATATATATATATATAAATAATTATGAATAAATCTCAATTTAATTGTTAAAAAAAAAAATATTAAATTGTTAAAGGTTAAGTGTTTTTCAAATTAAATTACAAAATTAATTGTAATACAAATTGTTTAAAAGATTTCTTTTTGGACATATGTAGTTCGTTTATTACATTAAATGTAGTAGTTTTGCAACTGTTTAGTCAAATAGGTAATATTAATAGGTAGATTGCATGTTATATTGTTATGTCAAAATCGGAGAGATCACAACTAATTTTTTTCTTTATTTTTTTTTTGGTTTTTCTCTTTCTATTTTGTTTTTCAATTTTCTTCAACTGTGAAAGAGTAACCAATATTTTTCTCTTTTTTTTTGAAAATAAAAACCAATAATAAAGTATGTATATATTGTGAATGATTGCATTTACGATTTTATATTGTTAGAATGCATTATTTTTTACCATCATGTTTCAAGGTCTTATATTAAAAAAAAAAAATTTTGTGTGCATAGTATGAATATTTTTTTTTTGTATTCTAGTTAATTTTTTGTATTTCTTTTTTTTTTTTGAAAATTTTATTTTGCATTATATTGGCAACAAATAAAATATAGGATAAAATACTTAAACTACCAATATTATTATTTTTAATTTTTTTTTCTTTTTTATTTTGTTTTTTATTTTATTTTAGTTTTCTCAGTCTTATCTTTTCATTGGTTATTTTGTTGTGTTTGTTCGTTTGTTTGTTTGTTGTTTGTACTCCTTTTACTTTTCAAGTGTTTCCACAAGTTAACAACTTTTTGCATAATATAAAATTATACACTGTTTTTTTTTTCGTTTTTTATATTATGCTTTTTATAATAATGTACTTGTGCACATAATTGTATATGTACATACAGTATACTAGGTAGTAGTATTTTTTGTGTATAATCTTGTTTAAGTACATGTGTGTATAAATTTTAATGGAAAAAGAAATAAGAGAATTCTTTTTTATTGTTATCATATTTCAAAATCAAAAGATTTTATCAATTCTTAAAAATTCACGCTTATTTTCTTGTATTTTCTTTTCTCGTATTTTTTTTGTTGCTTTCTTTGAATGTTTCTGCATTTTTTCTTTTTTGGTTTTATTTAATTTTTTTATTTTTTTTTTTTGTTTTTTGTGGATTTTAAAGTTAAGTTTGTTGAGTTTGGTTCGTTCAATGCATATACATACATATAAAGATGAAGAAGAAGAAAAAAGTTTTGTTTTTCAGTTAATCTGATTGCATTTTAATAATGCTCTCATCTTTTTTGATATCGTAAACATTCCAATTAAAAAAAAAAAAATACTACACAGAAAAGAAAAAACGAAATAAATAAATAAATAAATAAATGTATATACAAAATACTTTATCTATATTAACATTTAAATGAAAGAATTACTTAAAAATGTTCAAATACTTTATTAAAAATAATTTTTAAATTTTTAAATGTTCAAAAAAGATGAGAAAAACTGTCCATCTCATTTGTCAAAAAATTAATTAACATTTTAGTGTGAATGCATGAATTGCAATGTTATTGTGAATTGAAATTTTTATTTGATATAATTATTTTGAATAAAATGTCAATTATTTTGTTTAGAAAAGTTTTATATAAAAACAGTCGTAAAGTTCAAAAGATATGAATAAGTAAGAATGAGTTGCGGCACCATGATTAAAAATTCGAGAATGGCTGAATCACATTGTTTTGAACTGAAAAATCAATTTATTGAACTAAAATTTTTTTGCACTATCACTTGTTGTGCTAATTTTTTGTTCTACATTCGCTAATATGTGGTATCGGTACTACTGTGTATGTTCTAATTTAGTTGCTTATTATTGGAAATTAAATATTCAAGAGACAACTCCTTGTCCTCCAAATGTATATTGATAGCTTATTTCTGTATATATTTATCTCTTAACTCTTTGTACTAAATGATGTCTTGCATATTTGCAGACGTCAATTTATGAACATTGTAAACTTTTAAGACTCTTGTATTTATCAGATTTTTGGCAAATAAAATAACGTTATAATTTTTTACTTTATGTTTGTCGTACATGAGCAGTTTTCGTTACTTCTTTTTTTCTCTTCTTTTGAATTCAATAAGAAGTAGAAATGTACAAATGAAGTACACGGCATATACACCCAGACTGTACACTTATCTAAAGATAATGTTTTGGAGTTATGTAGTTCATAAAGCATTTACCATTTCCACTCATATATACACAAACACACGGTACCTTCTGATCGATTTTTGTCCCTTTTTATTTTTTTTTACAATTTTTATTTTTTCATTTTTATTACAAATGCGTGAAATATTGGAAAATAAATATTTTGTTATACATATAAGAATAGGTTTACGATTTTTTGTTTTCTTCAGGTAGATAACTTTTTTTTTTTTTGATTTTCTTAATTTTGCTTTAAGTGTTTTGAAATTTTTTTTTTTGTTTCTCTACATCTAACTAAATAAGAAAAATTTCTTATTCTAATTTGTATGGGTACAAAATAAGAGTAAGAAAAAAAAAATCAAGTACAAAATTGTGAACTTGTAAATTTGTAAAATGGCGGGAAAAATTAATTTTACAAATAATGACCGTGACGTGAGTAAAGAAATTTTAATCTGTTTATTAATCTGTGGATGGTATTTGCTTATTGCTATTGAAATTTGAGAAATGAAACTAAAGTTGTGTAGGGGAGTCTTAATTGAAAAATAAATTTTATTATTCAATAATGTTAAATAGTTTTAGATGACATTGAAAAGCTTTTCTTTTAATGCTTTTTAAGTAGCATAAAAAAATCGATAATCTTTAAATTTAAAGAATAAATTTTGGCAATTGTTTCAAGAAAATATTCAAAAAAAATTCATAATGCAGAACATATTCTCAAAACAGTCCGGATACATGTATGTACAACGTCTAAGTTGCAATTTGGTTCTAATTCAGTTTTCAAATTTAGAACGTCTACCCAAAAGCACAATGTCATTATTCAGCCAATATATGTAATAATTCTAATTGCTAAGTGTTTAATATTTAAATTAACTATAAATAAAAAAATTTTAATTTTTATAACTTATACTTATGATTAAATCTTATCAATTAATTAATTTTAACTTTTGTTTCAGAAATGACAGAAGAATGCTTAAATGATATAAATGACAATAAAGATAATAATGAAACAGTTAAAGAAACTTCTAATACAGAAATAGATTTATTATTACCAAAAGAAGAAAGTATATCACCATCACCACCATCACCACCACCAAATCCTATACCACCAGATGATGAAGATAAAGAATTTAGTACAGAAAAGTCAGTTATAGAAAAACAAAATGATAATATTTCAAATCCATCGGAAGTTAATAAAAAACCTTCAACAACTCCATCTGCAGTTCCTTCTGTTAGATTAAATCAATCATTAGCATCAGATCCTGCATTAAAACCGAATGCTAAAGACTTAAAATATATTTATGATGAAGCAACGAAAAATGAAGAAACAAATTTAGAATCTATTTCAGAAAATAGTGATGTTAATTTTAATGCTCTCTCAACAACACCTAATATTTCTCAACGAGTTAAAGTTTTTATGTGTATACCATGTGGAATAGGATTTTCATCATTATCAACATTAGAAGCTCATCAGTCATATTATTGCTCTCATAGGTATGTTCTCATTATTCTTAATAGTTCCTCAATCATTTTATTATTCTAACTATAAATTATATGTTATTTTGAACATATATAAAAAAAAAAACAATTTTTGTATTTTAGACAAGAATTCGATGAAGATAGTTCCCCAGCAATTGGAATTGATAGTAATTCAATTGGTGAACCAGTAGGAAAATCAGTTAAAACTGGAAAACTTTACACTTGTTCCCAATGTTCTTATAGTGCCGATAAAAAAGTCTCATTAAATAGGCATATGAGAATACATCAAGCATCTCCAGCAGCAAGTTCCAATGCCTCAAACGGAGATGATAATTCTAGTCAGGTAATAAAACAGAAAATAATTTAATTTTTTTATTTATAATTTAATTATTTTAATAATTTAATATTTTAGCAAATTGGTCGTTATTGCTCTGATTGTGATATTAAATTTTCTAATGCAAAAACATACCGTGCTCACAAACAACACTATTGCAATTCTCGACGAAGTGAGGAGTAAGTTTCACATTATTTTTTGTATTAAATTATATTTTTTAGTAATTTAAATTACATTTTACAATTTTAGATTAGCGGCATTAAGAATTGATTCACAGAGCCGTCCTCAATCAACAAGTCCTCAATCAAAATCTAAAAGTCCAGATGCAATTAATAATCACCAACCGATTTTAGCTTTACCAACAAATCCAATCGTATTAATTCCTTATGGTTTAATCGGTGGTGCCAATATTATATCTAGTCCACTGTAAACTTTAAACAAATTTTATATAGATTAAATATTGAATTATGTTTTTTTTAGAACAAGTCTTTCAGCTGATGCTGCAAAACTGGATGCATGCTATATGCTTGAGAACGGGTCGTTAAAGGTCATTGCCAAAGCATTACCAAACCGTCATTTATTAAGTAATTTACTAACAAATTCGAATCCAGCACAGCGAGTAAATACTCCATTGGACATTGTTGATCCTGTAATCAAAGACGATGTACTAAAAAAACTGAAAAAAGATTTTGCAAATAAGTGAGCTCAAAATTTGTTTAAGATTATAATTACATTTCATTACTTGAGTGTTATATAAAAAACTGAAAAATTACAAATAAAAAAAAAACATTTTTCAGAGACACCATTCCATTAGATTTATCGGTGGGAAAAACACCTTTAAAACGACCATCTACGGATTTGATTTTAAATGAAACGTTAGAAGGAAAAGAAAACCTCTCAAACAATAGTGGCACATCAACGCCTGAACAACTAATATGCGCACCTTCTTTGCCTAGCAGTCCATGTTCGTCACCAAAACGACGTATTTTAAGTCCTAAAAGTGATATTTTTTCAACTTCTCCAATTCTTAACTCTTTAGAATATTTAGGGTCTAAACGTGCTTCAGATGTAGCATTTAAACTTGCAGAATTAAATGTTGTTCCTAATAATACATTAAAACAAAATATTAAATATTTAGTAGAAAAATCTAATTCAACGAGAAGATCTGAACTTTCAGCAACTAATCCAAATGCAAACATTCCGTCAGGTGCTTCAACATCGTCAGCTGCGTCAATCGTAAGCGCTGCTGCCTCACCTCAAATATATGTAAAACAAGGTGCATCAAAATGTAAGGAGTGTAATATTGTGTTTTGTAAATATGAAAATTATTTAGCACATAAACAACATTACTGTTCGGCAAGAAATCACGAGGAAATAACCGAGCAGCAACAGAAAATGAATACGCAATTTTCAAGCTCTGCAAACTCCTTAAATTCATCTCAAACAGTTGCGCCTACGAATGTTGCATATCAACAATTAATATGTGCGGCGTGCGGAATTAAGTACACATCTTTGGATAATCTAAGAGCGCATCAATCTTATTATTGTCCAAAAGCTAAAGAGCCCGCACCAGTTAATGTTGCACCAGCTGCCTCACAGGTAAACTTGTTTTTTCATTTAAAATAATTAAGACTAGCTAATTTTTATTTTCACATTCATTTGTATAGCATGGAAATTTAGAGGCGGAAAGATGTGAGAAATGTAATGAAATTCATGAATTCCCTGGGAAATGTTCCGAAATTATTACATCTCAAAATGTGTTCAAATGTCCAGTTTGTGGTATACTTAGTGCAAATGCTGCCGAAAATAGAAAACATCTGGAAGGTCATAATAGCGTAAAAGCGTTTCGTTGTTCTGTATGTCGCTATAAAGGAAATACTTTAAGGTAATTTTGTTTTTTGTTAGAAAAATTTTGTCAAGTAAAGTAAATTTTAATGACTCCTTTAGGGGAATGCGCACACATATTCGAATGCACTTTGAAAAGAAATCTGCTGATTTTAGTGAGGAAAGATTTATGTCCTGTATATTAGAAGAAGATGTCAACGAAACTGAAATAAATACGAACTCTGAAGATGTCGAACAAAACTCAAATCAAATTCAATGTGATTTATGTTCATATTCTTCACCGTATAAAGGCAATGTGGTAAATTCTAAAAGATGAAAAATAAATGATCTTGCTTTTAAAATAAAGTTTTATGGACTATTTTCAGATAAGACATATTAAAATAGCTCATTCTCAAAGTGAAACCACTCCTAGCGAACCGTCTTCAGATTTCCAGACAGATTTTGAGGTTAAAGATGATATTCCAAAAGTTGAACCAATTGAAGAGTATATTTTATAAAAAGCGAAATTATAATTGATTTATTAAATTTTAATTTAATTTTAGTATCAATGTATCCGATCAACCTTCGAAAATCGATGGTAATATGTCTGGTACTGCAGCAGCAGCAAATTCAATTTCCGATGATTCAATAACACCGTTAGTTCTATCTGATTCACCACCTGAAATATTAGATGATAACAATTTAGATAAACACGCCAATGAGAAATATTGTGAAGCGTGTGATATTAGGTTTAATTATATGAAGACTTATATTGCTCATAAAAGATTTTACTGTAAAAGTCAACAAAAAGAAAATAGTTCAATACAGAATTTTCCCTTAATAGGTAAAAATAAGGAAAATGTTGAAACAAAATCTTAAAATTTAAATTTTAAAATAAATTTTATTTAATATATTTCTTAAAATAATAATATCGTATAAAAGTAATAAAAATAATATGTAATTTTTTTTTTCTTTATTTAAATTAAATAATTATAAAGTGAATAATTAGAATTGAAAATTATGAAATTCAGAAAGACAAATAATAGTTAAATATAGTATTAGCTAAGAAATTTAACCAAAAGACTTGTAATTTAAAACAAGTAATAAAGCTAAATTAAAACAAAAAATTACTTAATTAAACAAAAATAATGTGGTTTTATTTAAAGAATATGGTGTAAAAAATCTCAATAGTTTCTCGTTAAGTATCCGAAATAGTTAACATATTTCAAATTCGAACAAAATGCGTTCATGGAACTCGTTCATTTAGTTTAAACCCAAGTAAAACAAAAATACACATTTTTAAATTTCTAAGACATTTTTTTTTTTATTATAGAGGAAAATTTGTTTTACTTATTTTCTTTGAGTTATTTTTAAAATAAAAATATAACGATGTTTTGTATTCAAAATTGCACAAAAATAGAAAATATAGTTTTATAAATTTCAAATAGTAAAAATTTGTTTAAATGTAAGTATGTTATGATAATTAATACAATTAGATTCGTTCTACTTAATTATGTAAATTTAATTTTGTAAAAAGAAAATTATTTGATTTTCAAAAGTCTTTTTTTTTATTTTAATATATTAAATTATTTTAAATATATATTAATTTTTAAAATTCCCAATTAATTTAAATTTTGATTCAAAAATTATTATTTTAAATATATTTTTATATAATTACTTTAATTTTTACTAACGAAAACAGTAACAATAAATTTTTAATGATGAATCTTCAATACAGAAACTTTCTTTACTATTATAATTAATTCTAGTTATAACTCCAGTTAATGAAACTGTATACGGTGTAACACGTACAACAGATTCATATTCGGCCAAACCAGGTTTTGTTTGTATACGTAACGTTATATCCATAACAAATTCATCTGATGTTGATGATGATACTGATTGACTTTGTTTTAGTAACTTTTTATTTGGAGTTTCTATTGTCGCATCTAGGATTGAATTTAAATGTAAATGTCTACATTGTGAATTTGATCGTACTTTTTGATTTATTTCTTGTACCATGTATCTAGCAGCTCTCTGTATTCTTAAATCATTTTTAGCTATATTTAATTTTTTCTCAAGACAAGTACATGATTCATATGAAATACCAGCTAATTCACATGTTCTAGTTTGTGGTATTGGTAAAAATAAGCTAATACCACGTGGAAATGAATCACTTTCTTTAATTTCTTTTGATCTTATATCTAATTTATCATCAGTTATTAAACGTAAATCAGATAAATCATAAAGTGTTTCATGTAAATCAAAAGCTGTAGTTAACTTATTAAAATTATTTCTAAAATTTTGAAAGGCTTTCGGATATTGATGTTCAAACCAATTAGGAAATAATGTAAAAAGGAATGGTTGGCGTTCTTCTAATATATTTAAATATGATTTGTGATAATTAATATGTGCTCCATGATCGCTAACAAAAAATAATATTGTATTATTTAAAATACCAGACATACTTAAATATGAAAAAATTTGAAAAATATCATTATCGATTAATTCTACAATTGGACGTTTATTGTAAAGTGATGTTATCCAATAAAATGTAAATGATTTTTTAAAGTGATATAAGTTATTTAATTGTCTTAATAAATCAATTATTTTATAATTTGGTATTTTATTTTCTTTATAATTTAATAATTTAAATGTTTCACGTAATTTCTCCAATTCGACAAGTAATGGTCTTAAATAAAAATCTGTAGGTTTATTTGAGAATCCTTTATGAGTAAAATTTAATATTTTATTTGTTGCAACATCTTCAGCAAATATTGTTGTGTAACCGGCAGTCTTAAAACGTTTCCATATAAATGGACATCGGTCATAGGATTCATTGAATGTATTTGAATTGCATGCAACATGTAATTCATTTTCATCTAATCCACATAATAATGGATAAAAATATTGGTATGATTTTTCACCAATTTTACTATAACCATAATATTCTATTGAATTTGATTTTCTCATAAATTTTGCTATATTTCTTAAATGATTTAAGAGGAAAAAATGCGAGGCATTACTTATACCAATTAAAAAAACTGATAATTCACCATTACTGTCAATACCTTGAAAATCATCTTTTGCTGAATAATGAAAATTTTCATAAAATTCTTTATTATCATAATTACAGGAAACTTTAATAAATTTATTTTCTTCAATTTGTAAATTATTTGCAGGATTTTCAATATTATTAATATCGGTATTAGCATCTCCAATAAGAATTAAACCAATATTATCATCATCATTTGGATCAAAATCATCATTATTATTTAATTGTGTTATTTTAAATGGAACTTTTTCATTTGATGTAAAAATATTATTTGTATCGGTTTTACGATTAAAATATTGATAAAAGCAATTTATTTTTTCAATATCCTTAATACCAAATTCCTTATCCAGGTATGTTCTATTAGTATTCAATTTTAATAATCCATTTTGAACTGATGTTATTGAAATACTTTGTTCGAAATTTTCATTAAATGAAAAATCATCTAAATGTAAATTTTCTTCATATAATTTTGGTATTTTACAACCGATTGTATTCACATAATAATATTTCGATTTATTTGCTAATTTATTTAACTGTTCCGTATCACCATTATTGTGTTGTAATATTTCGCTTACATTTAATAATTTTTGATTAAATGTTATTTCAATTATAATAAAAAATGTTATACAGAATATAAAACAAGTTATAATACATTTTTTTAAATTTTGTTTTGGACCTTTTTTATGCTTATGATGATGTCTACTACTGCTATTAACACTACTAACATCTTGATGTGATGATGTTAAGGATGTTGAACGCATTTTCTAAAAAACCAAAAAAAAAAAGGAATATCAATTGAAATGAATTGAAGATTTCTATTAATTTTTATAAAAAATTTATAAATGATATTAAAATAAACAAAAACTGTTCATGAAGACACATTATCAATTTAATATTGCTCTAGAATCTAGATACTAACTATGTTTAAATATATTAGATACTATCTATAGAATTATTTAAATATGAATATGCAATTGAATTTTGCATCTAAGAACTAACAAATTTTCAAAAATTGTTACTATGAGTACCAACCTATTTATTTCATTTGCTTGGAAAATAAGACGAAATGGTCAGGCTGATAATTGTGTTTCATCTAATTTATGCAGGCGTATTAAAAACTAAATTGCAGAATTTTTTATATACATATATGTAAGTCTTTTAAAACGTTTGTATTTTTATTCTTATAGAGAGAGAGAACGATTTGGGTTGAATAAACTTCTAAGTTGTATACAACGTTTTTCTATTGATTGTCCTTAATTTGAAATTTAACCAACGTTCTACGCCTGAAAGTAACTTTTTTTCATAACATTTATTGTTTAAAATTATAAAAGAAGCAGTTTTTTTTTTTTTTTTTGTCTTTCAGTAAAACTTTTTAAGAATAATTCATTGAAGCTTTTATTATTTTAATGTAAAAGGGCTATTGTAACAAGTGATGCTCTGTTTTGTGCACAAACCTTTTAAACACAAATAAATATAGTTGAATAAGCCAAAAGCCAAAACTAAATATTTAAAATAAACATGTATGTAAGTTTGTCTACTCTATGCATATAAATAATTTTATATTTTATATTATGACTCTCTGTTCATGCTTTTACGTACATATAGGCATGTATGTACTATATAAATTGTATAAATTTTTCTTTACACACTTAATAGCAAGAATAAGTTAGTCCACTTAAAATATAATGTCATATGGTATCATTTAAAATTTGACCTTGTAACCTATGTACATACATACGAATTCAAATAATGTTTTTAGGGAAATTTTTTTTGCTATTTATCCGGCTTTTTTTCTATAAAATATTTAAATTTTTAGTATTCTTTATGACATATGCTCTCTAGCAAGCATTTTCATTTTACTTGTATGACAATTTTAATATAAAATAGCTAGGCTATTGTTTTTGATATTGTTAGGAAAAATGTAGGGTAAGATAATTTAAATCAACGTAAATAATATTATAATGTTAAGTACCAACATGTGTACATTTATAGCTACATAGTTTTTTATTTGAATATTATAAAGGTGCAAAGGTTTTTTATTATAATGTAGGTACACTGAAGTACCTATTGCTACAATGTTATATATGTATGTATGTAGATAATTTTTTATAATATAAGAAATTTTATTCTTTAAAAGGATTTTGTTTTAATTTTAATACAAAAAAAAATAAATAATAGCGTTATGATGCGGTAAAATTGAATTTACTTTTTACTTAAAAATAAATTCTATAACAACATTATTATTATTATGAGAGCAAGAATTACCTACATTGAAAGCTCAATAAAATGAACTGAAAATTATTTGAAAAAAAATCGAATTACTTCTGAGAACACTCATATTTTTCCATTTTTTTTTTTTTGTGTTGAAAATCAATTAAAAATTAATATTTTCTCAGATATATGACAGCTCTTAATTTACTGTTAGAGCAGTTGATTGTTATATTTTCAATTTATTGTCATCACACAAAAATGATTTTGTTAGCGAGAACCTACTGTGAAATTATAATAATATAATATAGCCGCATGAAAATATATTAGATTCTTTTATATAAAAAAAAATACCTATGTACATATTTATTTGATTACTCTCTATGGAAATCAGAAATTCAATTATTTTATATATTTTAACTCACTTATTTTATTTACAAGAAAAAAAAAACAATATAATAAGAAAAAGAAATAAATGTACTCGAACATTGTATATTGTATGTGCATGCTATAATACTTACAAGTCGGAAAGCAGTTACCAATCTTCTCATCGGTACGATTATTGAAATTTTCTTTTCATTTCATTTATTTTTAAGATATTGTTAGATATTCTGTGTTTTTTTTTTTAATTAGAACAGTATTAATTAAACATTTTTATTTTTAATATTAAAAAAAAATGGTAGATTTTCAATTTCTCAAATTTTAAAATTTTTTTTTTTTTCTTTTTTTTTATTGTAATTTTAAAGCAAATTTTACATCCTTCGTGGTTAAGCTAGATACAAAATCTAATGTGAGATGAAATCTTTTTATTGTAAACATCATTTTAGGCAAAAAAAAAAAATTTTTTTTTTTGGATTCTGCGTATTGCATGATGCTTTGCTCCAGGATATCTTACGTATGTAGGTATGTATACATAAAATATATATATATATATATATATCGAATTATTTAACATTAATTTTAATATTATATTAATATGTTCGTTTATAATATACTATTTGTAAATATGTGCATCCATTTATTTTTTTTGTAAATCATACGGTATAGTATACGTCATATATGTAAGTATGCAGAGAATATAAAATAGAGAATAAGAAGTAAATATTATGTATGTATGCACACTCAAGAATATTTGTTTGTCCTTAAGAAGAAAAGGTTTGTTGTGCTGGAAGATATGTTTTTGTAATAACATAAAATTAAGTGAACATCTAAAGATCTCTAAATAACCGTCATAACAACAGTTGGGGTATAATCTTCAACTCTTTTACTTTCGTATTTAATAGATATCGTAATATTTTTGTCTTGACAGCGTTATTGTCAACGTGTGTAAAAAATGTTAGGTTTTAATACAGAGTTATGCTTATTAATCCATAAATGTTTTAAAAAATATATATTTATGATTAAAAATTACTTGTTTGTTAAAACAAATGCATTCACAAATTCTTTATCTCTTTAAATATTCTTGATTTTCTTTTCTTTTTTTGTTTTAAGTGAACACATTTTAAATTAAATTGGGATTAGTTAAATATTCCTTGCCTGCAAATATTTGCTCTAATAATTGTATATATACAAATGCATTTGATTTTGTTTAAAGTAGATTTTTTTTTCTTTAAAATTATAAAAAAATATTCATGTATTTTTTTATTATTTTTATAACATGCTAAATGGTGAATTATTATTTTGGAAATAAAAAATTTATATGAAAATTTAAATGTGATGCATAAAGAAATAAATATTCATTCGAAAAATTTGAACTTGGTTGTTTCAAATATTAAATTTACACTTATGTACATACATATGATATATGTATGAAGATATGTGATATGAGATTTAAAAATTTTTTAAATGAAATGATTTACTATTTTCTAAACAAAACTAACATTTACTAATTTCGTATTTATTTTATTTATTAATTTATGTTATTTTGATTAAGTCCATTATATACTTTAAGAACTGATTCCTGTTCTAAAACTCGTTTTATAGCTAAAAATAAAAATGATTGATAATTAATACAGAAATATGTTTAGTGTGATATATTTTAAAATTTTACCTAGTTTTTCTTCTTCCGAAAGTTCTTTCTTTGGAAATTCAACATCAAATGTAATATATAATGTGCCTTGTAAATTATTATTATCAAAATTAGGCATGCCTTCGCCTTTTTTCTTAATTCGAGCACCGGGCCATGTTATTTTATCTCTTACGATTGAAACTTTATGACCGTCAAGATGATTTATTTCCATTGAAAAGCCAACAAGTGCTTCCTATTATAACATTATCCACATATTAACATATTTTTTTTTTAAATTCTCAAGTTTTAATAATTAAAATTACCTGCAGACTGATTGTTACATTCGTGTATAAATCATCGCCCCTTCTTTCAAATACAGAATGTGGCATTTGTTTCACTTCTATTATTAAATCTCCTGGTTCTCCATCTAAATGTGGCTCACCCTCAGCAACAAAACGTGTTTGTTGACCATCTACCATTCCAGATTCAATTTCAATTTCAAGTATACGTTCTTCATTGACTAATTTAACGTTGGGACATTCATCACAGACTGTTTGTTGTATCATCTGAAATCTTCCTGGACCAAGGTTCCGCGTAACCATTTCTTGGCGACAATTACATTTTCGTGTCCCGGAAGCTGGTTTCATTACTGGTTTATTGTGTGCTACCTAAATTTTTATAATTTGAAGTCTGTTTTTAATATCAAAAAAAAATGTGGGCGTACCTCTACAAAATTTCCAGTGTATAACTCTTCTAATGTTACCGGTAGTTTCATTACAATATTTGCACCTCTAGGTGTTTCATGATTCTGGCTGTCATGGCCACCGAAATGAAATCCAAAATCACCGAAAAAGCTAGCAAAAGGATCAGAGTTGTCCATCATGCCTAATACATATAAATATTTATTTTCGAATGAAGTTATTTACATAAATCAATTTTCATAATGTATAACCTTCTTTTTTTAAACATTCTTCACCACATCTGTCGTACGTTTTACGTTTGTCAGGGTCAGATAAAACTTCGTATGCGGCACCTAGTTAACCATGATAGAAAAAATTATCTGATGAAATACTATAAATTTTTTTTTTATACATACCTAAATCTTGAAATTTTGTATCAGCCTCTGGATCATCTTTATTTTTATCAGGATGCAATTCTTTGGCTAGTTTTCTATATGCTTTTTTTATTTCATTTGTCGATGCTGATTTTCTAACATTTAATATCGAATAAAAATCTCTTCCACAGGAACAGATTTGAAGAAATAAAACTAACAAATAAACTAAACACAAATGTTTTATAAACATATTTAATTTATAATTTTCCTAAAATCTTTTATACGCTACTAAAATTTCAAATATGTATATTGTATTTTATTCTAATTGATACAATTATTAGACAAATAATACACGAAACAATGACGTGTATTTTCTATACAAATTTTCCAAATGTTCTTTCCAAAGTTTACGTACGGTTTATCTATTTTGACATTTGGTTTTTGATTCCTTGATTTGACAATTTGTTTGAAACTTCAAGAATGAATGGTATAGGCAATATACTCTCCAATGGATGAAATTTGACATTGGTTCTCAAAACAAATTTTATGTCATTCACAATAATTATAACCAAATTCACTTCTTTAAAATTTGACATAGTGAACGTTGGAGAATAAAAATAATTTAAAAATTATTCAGAATTTAATTTATTCAATGTTCAATTATAAATACTTGTCTTTAAACAATATATGTATTTGGAAAACTTTTGTGCTTACGATTGCTCATAATTATTGTAAAATTTCGTTGTTGAACTTTAACATAATGCAATGGAACATAATGGATTTAGTTTTGTTGACTCTAAAACTCAAGAGATTAGAATTGAGCAAAAAATAAATGTTATGTTAAATTTGCTGAATTCTAAGATGATAGAATAGGTGTTTAGCTGAAGTTTACGATAATTTAATTTTTATGTATTTTCAAAAACCTCAAAACCTGCTTGTGTATGGGCTAGAGTTGGTAAATAATATCGGTATCGAAAAAATATCGAAATATTAGAACACAGAACATGTTTGTAATATTTTTCGATACTCGAAATTAATTTATTCGCTTGCGATAATTGAATATTAATCAAGAACAAAAAGTTGAATTTTAAAAAAACATTTTTCTTTGTACTTTTATAGGTTTATTAAAATTTTTATCAAGTTTTTTATTTATAGGTATATTTTTTTTGTATGTATGTATATATCACGTCACAAAAATGCTTCAAATTTCACAAATTTTACAAACAAACAAATTTAATCAAACCCGAAAGAAATATAACAAACTGTATATTCAAAGCAAAATTAATTTTTTTTTTACTTAAAATGTAGAAACCTTAAAACACAACCAACACGAAAAACATTTTCTTAAAGTTTATTTTTAAACTATATTATATAAATTTTTCTTTTTGTGCAATTAAAAAACAATTTGCGTTTTATAAATATTTTACTTTTTTTTTGTTTTTCTTAAAATTTTGTTCTCCATTTATATCTTTTATATAATTTACTTATAAAATAATTTTTCATATTGCATTTATTTAAGTACTTAGTCCTGAGATCTTTGGCAAATTTTTCCAAATGAAATTTTTGTGTATTCTCTGCTACAATTTCTTCATGATGAATTGATAAACTAGGTGGAGGGCTGCTACTATTACTATTACTGTTAATAATTTGACTATTATCATCGATTATAACATTGGAATTTGAATCAATATAATTAATATTACTAGTAGTAGGGGTTGAAACAGATTTATTTTCGTTTTTCTCTAAATTTTGTGATGAAGAAATATTATTTTCATTATTTTCAATTGTATCTATAATATTATTATCATTACAAGTTTTTGTCGTTGTGCAAGATTTATTAGTTTCCTCTAAATTAGTTTCTGTTGTTGTTGGTGTTGTTGTATTTAAAGATTCTTCAATATTATTATCGTCATTGGAACAATCACTTTCGTCAAAATTATTATTATTATTATAATTATATGCTTCATATAAATAAACATTTAAATTACAACCACTTTTAATTGTTTCATTTATTATAAATTGTTCGCAAATATCGATTAATGATGGTATATCGGATTTTGTTGAATTTGAATCATGATTGTCGTCTATAATTCGATTATTGGTGTTATTTTCTTTAATATCGGGTTCAGATTTTAAATTTGCATTTGAAACTGCTTTATTTTTAGATCGTAATTTTTGTAATCTTTTCTTATATGTTCTTTTAATAGTTTTATAATCAGCATAATTCGGTTTTTTTCTATTTGTTTTAGAATTTTTTATTAAATTTGTTGATCTTTTTGAAAGAGGCACTTTTTTGTATAGGAACTTATTCTTTGGTAAAATATATTTGGTGTAAAAACATTTTATTTTATAAATTTTTCTAATAATTTTATATCTTTCTTTTCTTAAATTTGATTGAAATGATTTGTTTCGTTTTTGATTTCTTCTAATTTTTTTGATATTAGTTTTTGATTTAATTTCCGAATTTTTGATAGTTATTGAGGCACTATCTTGGTCACTTGATTTTATTATTTCACTATTACTATTTTTTTCTATATCATTTAATTCTTTTTCATTTTCTATCAATTCAGTTTTAATATCTTCATTTTCAATTTTTTCGATTTTGAGCAAAGTATTTTTCTCTTTTTCTTCTTCAGTTATCACCTCTTCTTTAATTTGGTCCTTAACTTTCAGATTATTTTCATGTTTTTCATTATTATTTTTGTTAATTAGTATTGCATCAGGAACTTCAATTGTTTGTAATGATGCATCTTCATCTTCTTCTTCATTCCAATTTGAAATAAAATCTCGTATAGCTTGTCCACATATTAATGATTCTTTTGAATTGTTATTTTCAGGGACGTTAAATCTTTCATATTCATACGAGGCATTAATATTCGTTTGCAATAGTTGATTGTTAATGTTATAAAAATCTACATGTTGTTGGTGATGATGACTGTAAAAATCATTTAAAGGAAATTCGGTCGGTAAAGGATCTACAATTGACTCACTATTCGAGTAATTTGCAGGATTTATATGACGAGATTCGAATGCACAATTTGATGATGATTCTCCGATAATCTTGTTATTTATTTGGTAATTAGTTGCAGTTGTAGAAAAATTGGGGCAATTAATATATCTTTTATCAATCCAAACATTCTCTTGACTAATGTATCTTTGGTGTCTTGTAATATCTGTATTTGATGTGGTTATATTGTTTGGTAGTTCATTAATATAATTAGCATTCCATGCTATTGCAGATGTTTCACTATTATTTTTTCTATATCCTATTTCCCCATAATTAATGGGGAATTCTACAGCAGACTTTTTATATGTTTCATAATTGATTAAATTCACTTGAGATTTTTTGTATGTATCATAGTTGATAGATTCAGGATTTACAGTTTTTGTACCACAACTTTCATCTGGATATTCGAAAGGATTTCGGATTGATATAGAGTTTTTATGCGGATTTGGCTCGGAATAACGCGGAACAAAACATTGTTTATAATATGTATGATGTGTTAAATTCGAATTTACAAAAGTCTTTGAATTATCAGGCTGATAATAATCTAATGTTGTAGAATTTGATGATTGTTTAAGTCTTGAATTAGATTGAATACTATTATTTGTTTGTGGATGATGAAATGCTGTCTGATGGGTTGGTGGTGGTGCTGGTGGTAATATGGTTGACTGATGTGAATTAATAAAGGCATTTTCGTGTAATCTATTTTCATAATTGTAATGTGCAGCTGGTGGTGCCGTTGATGAATTTGAATTTGGCGTAACCGTATTTTGTTGATGCTGATATGATGAATAATTATTTTTGCAATTATTATTCAAAGGCCACTGATACTTATAATCATATGATGCTTTCGGTGTACAATTTGAAGTCTGTGGAGTTGATATATTTGCATAATCGCATTTATTAATATTATTATTATAATCATAATTATTATTATAATGATTATAATTATTATAATTATATGAATAACATTTTTCATTAACTGGTATTCCATTTGCCGCTTGAACAGCTGGCGTCGTTGTTACATGATTATATGACCAGGGATAAAAAATTTCTTTGCTATTTTGTCGATTTATGTTATTGATGCCTGTTGGTGCAGGAATTGAAGGATAATAATTAACATTATTACAATTAGTATTTGCTTTATTAATATTATTATGTTGATTATTATTTGATACAGCGTTTTCGTTGGGAGGATATATGGGATTATTATAGCAACAATTTATATAATTTCGACTCTGGCAATAAGTATTGTGCATTTCTCATCTGATACATAAAAACCTGAAATAAAAAAAAATTAAATCAAATTAATTTTATTATAGCTTTTAAGATTATGTTGAGAAAGAATAAAACTCCAATATTTTAGAGACTTTTAAACTCTAATACTTTTTAAAATCATTCACAATGATAAGAATTTTGAAATATGTAATTTGAAATATGTAAATTGCCTTACATTGGTTGAATATCAATTACCTTAAATATTTAAAATATGTAAGAATATTCAAGAATTTATTTAAATATAAACTTGTAATGCAAAATTACATATATTTGATTACACTTATGTTTTCCCAATATAAATTTACTGTTGTCTTATAACAAAAGTGTTATACATGGTAACACATTAACAATTTTGTTCCATTGTGAATGTGTTTTTTTAAAAATTAAAAAAAATAATATAAAAGTTTTATTTTATTTTTTCGTTTTTAGTTAATTTTTTTTTCGTTCTAAATTAAATAACGGATAACAACCTTTTAGTGAAGCCTTAAGAAAATATTTGTAAACATTGTTATTGATTTAAAAGCATGATATGGTAAGTACATAAGCATGTGTGTGTAACAATATATTATATTTTTGACATTCAGAATAATTTTAATGAATTAGAAATTTATGTTTCGTATTTATTCCACAAGCGGAATTAGAAAATCGTTTTATTAAGAATCGATACTAATAGTTTGTCAATTGTTATAAGCATAATAATTATTGATTTAATTTGGTTTGGCTTTTTTAATCAATATTGTTTTTAAAATTTCTTATACCCAAGTAAAAACTTTGTAAGAATTTTGAAAAAAATATCAAAAATTTGCTTTTCATTTTAGTATGGTGTACGTTTACTTTATTGAATTACTGTTTTTTGAATAATTTATAAAATGAATTCGATTTCCTTTCAACTATCATTATTTTCTATATATGGAATTTACGTATCTATTCTATATGAGTATTGAGAATTTATATAAAGTAGGGCACAAGAACATATTTATATATATATATATATATATATATATGTATAGGTACATATGAATATTTTATTAATAGAAAATATTTTATATAGTACTTATACATACATATAAATATAAATGTAATGTAAATTAATTCTCTGTGTAAAGTTGGTTGGCAATTCTTTTTAAATTACATAACAAGAATAACATACAAGGGGCATTTATCTATGTGGTAATATACTTTGAAAAACCAAAAAAAAATAAAGGACATGCATGCATTAAGCTAATTGCTATCTATAATTTGAAAAACATTTAACAGACGGGGCCGTTTACGTTAATACCACAATTTAGTACAAGTTCTTGTTTTTTTTTTTTATTTTCGTATATAGTAATTATACACTTGACATATTTTTGTTTTAACTGTTACATTTATATTTTGTACATATATTTATATAGGTGTATAGTTATGCCATAAATAAATAATTAGAATGAAAATAATTGAAGGAAAAGCAATCGATACTTCGTTATTTATTCATTCTTTATTTCATTTTACTTTCGTATTATATTATAAGACAATTTTGAAAACATTACTTTATACGTACTTATATAATATGTAATTTATGTTATCTTGCGCATATACATACATAAATACTTGTTAATTTGCTTTATTCTTAAGTTTTTGGTTTTTTTTACTCAACTTCAAGTGTTACAATGTTGTGAAATCAAATTTAAATAAGAAAAGTGTCAAATTAAAATCAAGTAATTAATGAATTGGCAATTTTATTTTGCTTTTTATTTTATCGACATTATTATTTTTTACTAGATTACATATATGTATACATAATTATGTAAAATTTATTGTTTTGTCGGATTAATTTATGAAATTATTTGACAACTTCTTGTTTTTACCAGAAACAAATTGTTTTAGAAATTAATTTTTTATTGAAATAATTTTGAAAATGTGAACGTAAATTACAGTTATAACAGTTTATGAACATAATTTTAAGTTTATTGAAGTTATGGTTTTGAAGCTCTTTGTGTTGCAAAACTTCAGTTGGAGCATTTTTTTTTTGTATATTTTTTTTATATTTTTTTATGTTTTTCATGCGTAAAATTAATCAACTTGATTTTTTACAATATTAATTTTCGTTTACTTAAAAAATAATCGATTTATTTAAAAATAATCGATTTTTTTTGTCATTGAAATCAAAATGGTTTTAAACTGCGAATAGAATGGCTTCTTATTGATAGATTCAATATAACATTTTATATATATCGTAGATTTGAATAAATTTATATTAAACTTTTCGTATATGTATGTATGTATATATCACTTTAATTAATGATTCATACATAAATATCTTTTTTAGAAGTCTAAAACAAATTTAATATTTAAATTTTGCTGTCAATTTCGGAATCTTTTCTAATTTTGACATTTAAAGGAAATTTAAATTTTGCTTTGATAATTATATTTCTATATACGTAATATTTTTGAGCATTTTCTTAAATATTCTTTAATACAGTATGAAACAGTGTTGGGTCGATTGAAATATTTCAAAGTAATTAGAGCATATTAAAATTTTTTTTAAATATGAAAAAAATTAAAATTGTTCTGCAAACTAAATTGTGATATAAAACTAAAATCTTTCAGGAGTATGTTTTTCGTTTGAACTTCGAAAAATTGCAGCTCTATTATTGTATTTATATATTAATTAACAGTGGCAATTTCTTTAAATTTCAACCTTGAATTTTTCATCTTTCGAAAATGCAAACAATTTTTAATTGTCGGGTAACATAGAACGCAAGGACTTCGAAAAATATTGTTCACCATTCCAAAAATTATATTGTATTCGTATAATTGATTGTATAACATTTATAATGTTTTATTCATGTAATCCTTCACAAAAAGTTCAACTTAATCATTATGTACAACTGTAATTTAAAAAAAACAAATGATTTTATCTTAGCTAGATAATTTTTAATAAAAAAATTTTCGTTTTAATCATTTATCCATTATATACGCATTGTTAATTATTTCATGCACTAGATGAAAAAATCAGCATTTTTTTTTTAGAAAATAAATATTCAGATTGAAAAACAGTGTTTTTGAACTCTTATAATTTTGTTCTTGTAGATTTGTCAATTATTTCACAAATACGATATTGTTACTTTATATATCTACATATATGAATAAATTAATGACAAAACATACATATAATGCCATTATTATAATAATTACTGAATCATCATAACTTATTTTAGGGAAAACAAAAGAAAAAGAGACATTGTTTATTTACAATGTAATTGTAAAATTATTTACAATTACTATAATTTTTATTTAATTGAAATAATAATTATTATTATTATTGATAAACTTGAAATTTTTATTAATCATACTAGTATGTGTATGTATGTATGTACATCCATACATATATACTAATAATACATTTTTAATGGCCTTTTTTATTCGAGTAATAGGAAATTTTTTGGCGGCATATTTTTACATTTAATATTATTTTCTAATAAGAATAGTATACATTTAGGCGTAAATTATGTATTCATTCAAAATTATTTTAAATACATACAAACATGTGTGTTTCAAAAAATTCAAAACTACATACACACATATAAACATAATTAATTATACTTAATGTGTTAATTAATTTAATTATATTATATAAATGTATATGCATGCATATATAAAATTGTAAATTTTAAACGTGCGTTAAAGAAATATAAATAGAGAAATAAATTATTTAAATTTATGAAAATATAATTTTTTAATTTTATTTTTCTAATATATTATAATATTTATTTCGATTTAAGATTGTACATGTATATATTTACATGTATATATGTATGTACAAATGTATGTAAAAAAATTTATCTATACTTTATCTATTTAATAATATTATATTTCATGTTATATTTACATATATTTTTGTTGTTTGTGCATTCATATTATATATGCTATATATATACATATATATAGAAATATATATACACAATATATATCGCACGTGTGTTCGTATATTCTTACACATTTATACATATAATATATATAATCTTTTTGTTTGTAAATGTATTTGAACTTTATTTGTATTGTTATACTATATTTATATAATTAATTTAGGAAACAATATATTTATGTATGTATATGATAATAATAGTTCTTTATATACAAAAACACAAAAATAAAATAATAAAGAGAAAAATGAGTAAAAAAAACAAAACCAAAAAATAAAAACGAATACTACGTGTACTTTAAAAAAAAAATTATAATACAATTGTACAAACTAATTTTTGATCATATATCTATATATATAATTATTTTTGTATAATTATCATAATAAGTAGCTATGTTTGTTTTTTTCTTATAAGAATATATATATGTATGTACATATATATAATTTAATATTATAAGTAAATTTTTTTTTCTCGTATATTATTTTTAACATTGAATTAAATAGTATTAAAAAATATATACATACATACGTACTTATACACACACATGTGTTCTTATAATGTATAGTTAAAAAAAAAAAACGTACCTACATTTTAATTTTAATCATTATTATCTACTATAAATATCGACTATTATTGTCATTATTAATTTACATATCTGTACATACATTATATTCCATACATATGTATTATTAAATTAAAATTTTAACTATATAGGTATAAGAATTTGTATGTGTATATAAAATAAATATTTTAATATAGAGTCTCTAATTATAATTATAAATAAAATTATTAAAGGAATATAATAGTTTATTTTATTTATTATATGTATAAATAGAAAAAACATTGAACCTAGGATAATTTTTTATTTGAAAAAAAAAAAGTAAATAATTAATGTTTTTAGTGCTTCTTTATATGCTCATATTCACAATTATTATTCACAATTATTATTCACAATTAATAAAAATAATAGTTATTTTTTTAAATATTTCATAATTATTTATGTTATTTATAATATATGTTATACATACACACGTATTCATATTATATGTATATATGTGTATTTATGTAAATATGCATAATGATTTTTAATATTTTACACTTGTTGCTTCACTTTTTAAAACCGTATAACACAAATTTTTGTTTGTTTGTTTTTGTTTTTTATTTTTTTTTTTTGTTTTCGTAATATTTGTTTTTAAAAATTTTTATTTTTGAATCACAAACAAATTTTTTTAAATTTTGAAATCAGAAGGATTACAATATTAATTTATTAGAATTTGCATATGTAGACGGCGGGCGCCGCTTGTATTAAAATTGTTACAAAAATTTTTTTCTTTTCCAAAAAAATAAGCATAACAACAAAATTACTCACGCTTAAAATTAAAATGGTTAAAATTTTTTATTTTTTCAAAACAAAATTCCATTAAAGCAAAATTATAGAAAAATACGAGTAAAATTAATTTTTTTGTTTAACGTGGATGATTTTTTTTTTTAATCAATATGACTAAACTACCGTAGGGAAAATTGATTTTGTTTTTATTTTTTTTTTTCATGTTACTTACATTTTTTATTTTGTGTTGTTGTTGTTTTTTTTTTTTTTTTTTTTTTAATACATACTAAAATAATTTTTCACCCTAGAAACCAACCATGCAAAACAAAATTTTGTTTTTTTTTTTGCTGTTATTTTTTTTTTGTTTTAATTTTGTTAAAGCGTAGTTTACAATTTTTCGAAATGGAATGTAATTAAGTAAAGTGAAGTTAACAAAAAAACGTACACAAAAAAAAAAGAAAATCAATGATAAAGAGCAATAATTTTTTAA